GCTTGTCTTGGGCTGGACTGCTGTAACACATCAGTTTCCCTACGGGATTAATAAAGTCTTATCTATCTATCTCTTGAGTTCTTACACAGTCCCTGTTATGTCTGATCTACTGTGGTTTTAAAATGCACCTTAAAAAAATGTCTCATCCAAGTCTACGGCATGTAGAACTCACCCTTTGTGCAATTTGTCAACTGCAATATAAAGCAAAATGCATCTTGTATAGTAACACCTAACTGCAAAGCTAAGGTAATTAATTGCTTTCTGGGGATTTAGTGTTGGGGTGAGGAAGGGTTATTTTTATTTTTGTACTTTAATTTTGTTTGTTAAAAAAATGTCAAAAAACAAATGTTCACATTAAATAGAATCAGCTTAGGAAGGGGATATGGTTAGAAATTAGCAGCACTTTTCACTTGCAGGTTTGTGATAGTTTTCTATCTCCAGTAGAGATTTCTATTTTTATAATGCAGAAGGTGGTTAATGTGATTTTGTGAACCTTCTTGAATTATTTGTGTCTGTGTGTTTGCCCTGTGGACTGGTGTCCCATCCAGAGTGTATCCTTCTGCCTGTTGCTTGTCTAGACAGGCTCCGGGTGCCCTGCGACCCTGAATTGAATGAAACCTTTAGAAAATGGATGGATAGATGGATTTTTATCTACTACGGTCATCCTTGAATGTTTGTGAGCCCTTCAAGGTGGTCATTATTTTAGATATTATAGAGTTATTATATGAACTTGAGCTCTTAATGAACATATAGAATGAATATCCTAAATAAAGACACATAAAAGGGGATTTGAACTCATAGATTATTAGACTGTGATATTTAACAAATCACCAGATATTCTTGTGTGCAAAAGTAAGAACACTTTTCAGTCAGTAACTTGTGGCACCTCCTTTAGCAGCAATAACTTCATACAGTTGCCTCCTAAAACCAATTATCAGGCTCTGACATCTTCCTGGAGGGATTTTTTCCCATTCCTCTTTATAAAACTCCGGCAGCTCTGAGGTTTGAAGGAAGTCTTGCATGAACAGCCCTCTTCAAGTCCTACCACAACATTTCAATAGGATTCAGGTCAGGGCTTTGGCTTGGCCATTCCAGGACACGGACCCTCTTCTTCCTAAACCATTCTTCAGTGGACTTACTTGAATGTTTAGGATCGTTGTCTTGTTGAAACATCCACTTTGTGCCCAGCTTGAGTTTTCGAACTGATGGCCTGACATTCTTCTCAAGAATTCCTTGATATTTTTCAGAATTCATGATGCAAGGACCAGAGTAAGAAAAACAGCCCCATACAAGGACACTCCCACCAACATGCCTGACAGTAGGGATAAGGTTTTGTTGGTGGTAGGCTGTGTTGGCTCTTCGCCAAACATGGGCCCTCTTGTTGTGCCCAAATAGTTCACTTTTGGACTCATCTGTCCAGAGAACAGACTTCCAGAACTCTTCAGGTTTGTCCAGGTGGTCTCTGGCAAACTTCACACGGGTTTGTTCTTTTTTGACAGAAGAGGCTTCTTCCTGGTGACACTTCCATAGATGGCATTTCTGTTCAGGGGTCTTCTTATTGTTGATTGATGCACCACTACTCCAGAGGCAGCTAGGGAGGCTTGTAGATCTCTTGATGTTATTTTAGGATTACCTTTTACCTCTTTTATTATTCTCCTTGTGGCCCGTGGTGAAGTTTTAGAAGGACTTCCACTCTTGGCAGGGATACCATTGTGTTAAATGCCCTCCACTTGTATACTATTTGCCTAACAGTGGATTTATGGAGTTTGAATCTTTTTCAAATGGCTTTATAACTTTGTCCAGATTGATGAGCATCCACTACTTCTTTCCTCGGTTCTGCTGCTGTTTCCTTAGTTTGAGGCATCATGCTAGACTCGTAGGATGGGTAACTGACCTGCTTTCTTGCAATTATTTCTGTTTGCTCCTCCCTAACACATCATTTCAGATCTTCAATTTCATTGGTTATCTCGGTTAATTGGTTAACACTCTGTCATTGACCACCTGATCCTGCTTTACCTTGATGTAAGACGTAGAACTAAGGGTTCACTTATTTTTGCACCTGCACGATTTCTGTATACTGTGTGTATTATTTTGCTGCATGGACATTTTCTTTCAAAACACTCAAATTGGTGAATAATTATACTTTATTTAAATTAGGAAGTGACAAATTCTGATTAAATATGCATTTTATGGTTGAAAAGAAATCTCCTTTTATGTAATAGGTTCAAAAACTTTCAAGCACGACTGTACCTCTGTTTCAGAAACACTGTAACATATATTAAATTGAAGGCTTGCAATATCTTGTAGAGAAGTTTATAGACTCTCTGCAGCAGAAAGTACTTTATCATGTCATCAAGTTCTAATTTACTCTACATTTAACTCTGGAAAAGTGTTTAAAACAAGCACGTCTAAAATGTGATTGTTTACATTAGACGTTTGTAATTACAGGCGCCACAAGGTCTTCCACGTTGCTCTCTGTCATAAATAATTTCGGCAGCTTGCCATTCTGAAGCTGCTGGTCGCAGTTTTGAAGTTTCCCTTTGTGCCTTTTGCGCTACGGATTCTTAATATCTGGCAGCTGGAATAAAGTCATTTCAACCACATGTGTGAAAGTAGTGAGACTGCCAAGATACACCACAGAGGCAGGAAGTACACAGCAGAAATCAATATGGCCCACTATACACTCACGAACTAGAACCTCTCTCTTGTATATAACTGTGAATCGCTGGTAATTTGTTTCTAAGATGAGATGAATAAAGTATGTGAAGTACATCACAGAGACTCTACTTGCTGGATGGAATATAGTTTGACTCTTGCAGATTTGTTTCTTTAGACACCAAAGTTTAATAAGCAGAGTTAATAACTGTGCCCAATCAATGTAATCTCCCCAGCACACTCACCATGGTGTATTAATAGTTTTAAATGCCATGCTAATAAATAATGTTCCTTCTACGAGAAATTGATTAAAAAAACCTGAAGGTTAAAGAACCATTACATACTGTATAGATGAAGTCAAAAATGAAGATCGGGTAGATTTCAATTTTCAGTCATGATGGATGGCCACGTTATAGAGCTTTCCCAGCTATACACATTATAGCTTTCCAACAGAGCTCTCCCTGTCCCTTTCTTTAGTTATTCTTGCGATCTGCTAAGAATAACTGCTGTTTCTTTCCCTGTTGATGAAACTGTTGGTATTGTACTTTAGATGTATTTTCTGGGATGACTTTGGTAATCCATTGAATAGTAGTTAATGAAATGTGGAGATTTAACAAATTTGCTACATTCCACATAGGTGATAATTAATCATAAAAAAACTTTTGTGGAAGAGGTGCTGGTATGTTTCCTGGTTAATCTACTGTAACGCCTAGCTGCAATTAAATATGGATTGCTGCAGTCTGCTTTGTTGCACTGATTTCACTAACCAGTGTACTGTATGTTCCTTTTGATAGCAGATAAGTTGATTTTAGAACAACTGCTTTAGAGGCTTTACTTTGCTAAAACCAGAACGTTTATGAGATCGCGATAAAGATTGCAAACAAGGACGGAATGACCCTTCCAGACAGTTTAGTTGTTTGTAGCCAATGATCTCATCTGACCTTTTCTTGAAGCGTCCCAAAGAGTCCGCTTCAGCAGCCTGTCATGTTAGTTTGTTCCAGGCACAGTGAATCTTTGTCTAAAGAAGTGGTTCCCCTTTTGAGTGTTGGTCCAAATTGGGAATATATCTATCATCAAACAGAGTAAAGATTTTCTTTAGATTAATAATTCTCTTCTTAAAAATATTTAACATACCATTCTGTAATAGCGCTGATTTCCATAATTACGAATAATGATTGATTTGTATCTAGTTCTCTCCTTCTGTTTTAGAAATACAGTGTAATGTATGTACTGATGAAAGGATGAAATATTTGATTTTTTGAAAGATTTTGTGTACATTGTATAGAATAATGTATTTTGTAAACATAAAAAAATGCTGATAAATAATGGAAAAGTTTTTCAGTACATCATGAGTGTAAAGAAGTGCCCCCTATTTTGAATCCTGCTCTACTTGCTGGAATAATGTTTTTATCAATACTGAAGCAAATGGGTTTTCCATTGGTGAACTGTGTCAGTTGTGTGGCTGTGAATATAAAGCCCTCATGATATCCTTCGCTCAGGGCTGCAGAGGTTAAGATCTTCAAGCTGGTCTCTGTATGACATTCCTCTGGGACCAGGGGGTGTCAAGGGAACTCTCCTTCAGGACTGCTCTTCTTTTTGTATTGTGTATTTATGTCAGTGTTGATTTAAGTTATACGATTTTTATCATAGTATTTTTGGCCTATTAAATCGATTCCCACTGATGTTCAGTAGAGGAAGTCAAAACGTAAATGATTTTCTTGGGTTCTTTCTGACGTGCCACTCATCTTATATTTTGAGCACACATTTTTACCTTCATACAGTATGATGCTTTTTAATTGTCTGCACTAAAATTAATTTGGTGAAATGAGGGTTCTACTCAATCCTAAAAACTACAGGGGATTTTTTTACCTTGTAAAAGTATTATTTCCTTCCAGTAATGTTCCATTTTGTTAGATTACGCATGATGTATACACTTAATTTAAAGTAAAATATTTTTGTTCAAAAATTGATTGCCCAAATTGAGCACTTACATGGGTGAAAATAGTTAAATGTCCACAAAAACTGCAAAGAAAAAAAAACGAATTCCACATTGAAAATGAGAAAGAAAAGACAACATTTCCGCCTGCTTTGGGTATCACATGATCTTTAAGAAGTCTTATTGAAGTTGTTCCGTTCCTTCATATTGTGTGTTAGTATGGCAATGCGGCAATACGGTGGTCAAGAAGTCTCAGGATGTTTCTCCATTTACTTTCTCCTCTTTCCTTAACATCCTGCGGTGAAAGTGTTTTTGGTAAAGGTCAAAAAGAAGACTTGCATTGAAATTATTTTGAGCTCCAAACAGGTGATCTTTATTGAAAGTTCACTGGACCTTGTTTCAAGCTTGTTCGCTTGCTGTGCCCTTTTGAGTGCCTCTGCATGTGCAGTGTTTCCGGTGTTGCTCTGCTGGTCGCTGACACAGAGGAGGCTCTGAAAGTGGAGGTACGAGAGGAGAGCTGGCAGTCCTTCACCCGTGTGTATGAGGGCTATAACAGGCTAGTATAGCAGGAGGTGGAGCCGAATAATAATTTAAAGTCGAAACGTTGACACGAAAAGTGAAAAGCCATTCCATTTAAAATCAAGAATCAAGAAATAGGCAAGTACTGTACTGGAAAATCAAAAAAGAAAGGATATACATAGATGTGTGACTTTCTTATGGAGCAAACGATGCCTCTGTATCATCGGTCCTTTGTAGGTTACCTCAATTAGATTCATCAGGAGTAGAGCCAGGTCCTCTTTACCGAGGAGTCATTTTGTGTTGCTCGCCCTGATGGACATCTGCAAGTGTGTCACAGACGTGCAGAATGATGTGCTCATTGCTATGTGGAAGAGCCATATCGATAGAGAGGTCCAGCAGTGTGATCTTCTGGACAGAAGTGTGTAGTTTTCTTTAACAGATCTCCATTATTAGTTATTCACGGCAGTCTCACTACACAGCGATGCATCGATCAAGTCCTCACTAGCTCCCTTTCCTGTGTATTCATCCACAACGCACGTTGTCATGCTGCTGCAACAGCTGCTTTCTCCAGGGATGAACACAGGACAGTTGAGCTGTGGTTGCCTTACTAACCAGCCATAAGTTCCAATACAGAGTATTGTTGGCTGAGCTGCAATAACATGACAATAATACATTTGTGAGTTTGTTGCAGTTATTATTATTTTTTAAGTTGTTGTAAATACTTATCAATGGGATTAAATGAACTTTAAGTAACAATGTGTCCTTGTTTTTTGGACTTCCCAAATTCCTAATGAACCATGAACAATGACTTATTATAAAGTGTTACCGCATTTGCAGCTCACTGAAAATGAATTATTTTGAAACTATCCTTTTATGCTAACTATAGTGTGACACAATGATGCAAGTTGGCAGTGTTTGTTTTTTTGTTTTCCCCCTCAGATTGTTATACCCAGAAGTCCTGTTCAAGCCAAGGGCCTTCTGCTGTCGTGCATAGCAGACAACAACCCCTGCATATTCTTTGAGCCGAAGATCCTCTACAGAGCTGCAGGTGAGCAAGATACCGATCACTGTGGCAACTCTCAGACCCTTAAAACCATTTTCAATAAACTTCAGTCCCACTCATCTAGAAGGACTCCATATCGTAAGGAATGCAAAGTAACTCTTTGTTCTGCCCATTAAGTGTGATTTTATTGGCTGCTTTACAGTGTTCTCTGAAATTATTTTAACTTATCTTGTGGAATGTGCTCATAACGACATTCTTTATGATCACTGTGCTTAAGGTTTAATATTTGCTTTTATGTTTTCTTGTCCGATAAGGGAATAACCCAGATTTTCTCTTTCAAATCATTGTTAAACTTTAAAACACTTTAGCAGTAATTTGTTGTTGTTATTCTTTTCCTAATAAGTGTTTATTATGTATAAGTCGCGATGAAGACTCCAGAGTAATGTGTAACAGGGCCTATTGTATACAGTTAAGATATTCCATGTGATTTTATTTACTGTCACAGCATGTTTTCTTTCTGGAAAATCACAACATGTAAGTAATATAATAAATATTGTTACATTTGGCTTGCTTCGATTTTGGGCACTTGTAAGTTTTGGATGTCTTGGAAGTCATTTCTCTTTGGATGGTCTTTTTTTGGTTACTGGAATGTGGTTTCCTAGCATGGTGTTTTATGTTTGGCACAGCTGATAGTCAGTTAATCCCATTTTCAGTGGTAACATGTTTTTTGTTGGTGAAGATTTAAAGATGACGAGCAACAGATGGGGGATTAATGCTGTGAAGGTGCTCGTGTACGCTTAACCCCTCGGGTAGCCTGGAGATCTCTTTTATCAGGATATCAGTTTTAGTAAAGGAAGGAGGCTACCGATGGTGATCTCTGCATGGCTTATCTACGCTTCAGCAGTTAGATCAAGACAAAATCAAAATTGCAAAGAAAATGTAAACGTGCAGCAATCCACCTGTGTGTTTCTGAAGTGTTCCACTTCGTGTACTAAACAACGATGAAGACCAGTCTGTAGAAAGTACAGACATGAGCCCCATACAGAGGCGAGACCTCCAGAATACTGGTAACTGCTTTTTATCTCTTCACTTGACCTCTTTTATGGTCCTTGTGTGTTCTGGCCTCTGTGAAAAAGCATTGGCTCAGTTGATCTTTTGCAGCCTTGAACCTTGGAGCACCAGTTTGCTAAACAAACCAGTCTCACCTGAGTTAAATAAATTATTCTGAAGTATAAGCCTCGCTCCTGCTTTGTGGTCTTTAGGTGGAGCTTCAGCAAACAGTTCAGCCCTTTTGAAATTATCTAGGACTTCTCTGTTAGAAATTATGAAACTGAATTCCTTGGCTACACTGTTATTCACAGAAGCTGTCCCAGTTTAGGTGGTCTTAAGGGCTCTTACCTTTTCTGTGAATTGCTGCCCCCTCCAGTTGGATCCGTTTTCTATGTTTGGTCCTCAGTTCTCTTGTTCCTCCATCTCACTCCATCTTTAGCATGGCAGTATCCTGAGGAAGGAACAATGCTGCTGCAACACTAGCTCTAATTTCTGCTGCGTTTCTCTGCAAAGCATGCATGGTCTCTGCAATTTCCCTCACGGGATCAATAAAGTATCTATCTATCTATGGTCAACTGATTACGTCCATTAGCCACGGAGGATGAGCCTTCACCCTTAGCAAACCTGTCTAAATTTACCACCTTGAGTACGGAAGTCAACACTTTTTTCCTGCTTCTTCACCTGTGAGGTCCCTTTTTCATGTCACGGCAAATGCTTATTAAGGGCAGCGGTGTTTACGAGACAGTGTCTGATCCCGCTCTGAGAGCAGTAAGGTGGAAGGCAGTCGGAAGTTAAGTTTCTATGCATTTGCACATCTAGAGGATCACGGTTAATTGCCCGTTTATCCCTCAAACCAAAAATAATAATAGTGTTATTTAAGGCTTGTCTTCTCCCAGGGTTCTGTATGACTCGATTGATGTAAAACCTCCCATGGGTCTTGTAATAAAAGTTTTGAGATATACATTAAATGCATAAAGAGCAAGTGATCACTATTACAGAGTGAGGGTAACGTCCTTTTAACACTTCTGACTGACTTTTCTTTTCGTGCATATGAATTCTGCAGATTATTTTAAGATTTTTCATTGAAAATTATGTGGCGAGTACCCTGTTGTGCAGTCATGTCAGGGAAGTGTCCAAGTCTTTTTATTAGTTACTGAGTGTTTTGTTTTGTTTTAAATGACTGAACAGCACTGTGGTAGGGCGATGGAATGTAAAGTATAAACCAAAGTGCAAATCATTCTAATTTACTGTATTGTATGTTCTAAGTGTGTATTATATTTGGTACATTGTTTCATTTCTCTCCCGCTGTATTAATGGGCGATGTTTCTTCTCTTTTTCTACCTCACGGACTGCTTGCTGCTGCTACATTCTTTCTCTAGCTCTCTTCTCACCTGCATGATTATTCAAATTCAATGAGTTTATTGGCATGACCAATGAATTGCAGTGTTGCCAGAGAAGATACAATTACCACAACATTTACAGTACTAACACATTATTGGCCAGTTATATACATCACATAAAACATATAATGTTATTGAGAGACAGGCTCACTGTTCCTCAGGCTGTGATGGGAGATCATATATTGAGCTGCAGTTCTTTTGAGTTTCCTCCTCCAGTAAGATTGGAAGCTGTTTTGTCTCTGGCAATTGTGGGAATTCTGGGCTTAGATTTGCTATTTTAGGGACAAATGTTTGTCTAATTCCAGAGTATTTCTCACAGTGCGGCATCTCTCTCTGCTTCTCCCTGCTGGCAGTAGAAGCACAGCCTGTCCTCACTGGGCATTCAGGTCTAGCTCGGTTGCCCAGTGTTTATGTCCAGGCTGTGGTCACACAGGGTCTGTTTTTTCTTTGCTGTCTCTTACACTGGTATAATACTCAGCTAGTGTGTGTTGCCTCTTTTATGGTCCTGCAGCATTCTAGTTTGTGTTGTGTTTGTGTGTGACCCAGTGGGTGAGGTGAGCATATGCACCTGTTAACCATTAAAGGACATTAAACCCTGATAAACCTGCAGTTCAGTCTTCGCTCACTCACACAGTTAAGAAAAATAAGGAAGAATCTCTGCAATATCGAGAATAGTAATTCATAGTAATAAATGTTAATGAATGGTAATTGCCAAAAAAGAGGTGTTTCTGACTTATGTAAAATTGCGGTATGCCGATGTTTTACTCCTGTCTTAACTCTAAATTGGATATTAACACCAATTAAAATACAGTAAAAATTAAAAGCAACAAAATTGGCAATTTTCTAATTGCAGTTAGTTTTTACTTTGTAACATTTCCCTTTGATACTGTTTTTTCTCTGCCCTTCTGTAAGGTGCCGTTTTCTTCGAAGTATGTCAGATCATTGGGCATACCTGCCTCCAGTGACCACCACTGGCAGGCCAGCTAGTTCCTGTAGACCAGAAGACCATTTTAGTACTTACTAATGTCCTAAAGCCTTGGTCAATCTGGAACCTATGTGCCTAGAATTTTAAGACTTTAAACGTATTCCATCTTTTTCACAACATTGTAAATGTGTTACAAGACAATGTGTCTTGTAAATGACTGCTAACAATGTTGAGATACTTATGTTGCGGAAGCAGCAGTGTATACATATTCTAATGGTGCAGCAGCAGTGAGTGAAGTGGAGCCCAGGCCAGTTGAGACTGAGAGAAAGCTCTACGTGCTGCTGCCTTGGTTATTGAGTTGTGTAGCAGGGTCAGATGGCCAACAGGAGCGCTGCCTACATTTTATAACTTGAATCTGCAGTATTCAGCTTCCATTTCTCCATGTGCTATTTGGAAGCAGACAGTTTTTAACTTAAATGTAATGTTGAGCCAAACGTCTAAATGTATATTTACCCTAATGTGAAGTAGCTTGTATCCTGTCTTGCAAATGATCACAGGAATGTGATGACATAATGAGATACAGTATTAAAACATAATGGTTATAGTGTTTATAGGTGACAGTCAGAGAAGGAGGAAAAGGCTAATTTGGGAAAAATCTGTATCATGTCTGCTTTTATACTTCACTTTTGACTGGCACTATAGCAACTGATGACACAACACATGTGTTTCATTTGCTGAATATAACAGTTCCACTGAATTTGGGAGCAAAGGAAATTGATTTATTTGTACACCAGAATTATAAAAGCATAGAGTCAAACACTTATTTTTGAAGCCTAAACTTGACATAAAGGCTTCAGAATGCTGTTGACTATTATTGGAAATGAGTTTGCTTTTGTGTTATTGAGTACTTTTTTGAAAGAGGACATCAGTTTATGACGTTTTCAAACATTAAGTATAACTGGGTTGTTTTACATTAACTCTATTTTTTTCTTAGAAATAATAATTTCTTAATGTCAAATAAAAATCGTTCTTCCTTTTGGTGTTGAGTTTTAAATTGTTTGTGTCCATCTCATAACATTATTTTCGTGTTTTACTGGTGAGAGGTAATTAATTAAATTAAAATATATGTTGTGTTGCGTTATTGCCAGTCAAATTCTAAGTTGGTGTTTATGTGTCATGGTATGTGAATCTGATCTTTTAGGTTATCAGATAGCTTTACCTAGTCTATCATGATAAAATATCAATTTTGGGTCTTTTACTCCAATTGCTATATTTTATTGTGTTGTGTACAGCCAGCAGCTATATCACCCTGTACTGTGCAAGTGACAGCCAGCTGAAGCTCAGCAGGTGTGAGCCTGGTCAGTACCTGGATGGGAGACTCCTGGGAAAAACAGAGGTTGCTTCTGGAAGAGGTGTTTGTGAGGCCAGTAGGGGGCGCTCACCCTGTGGTCTTTGTGGGTCCTAATACCCCAGTATAGTGGCGGGAACACTATACTGTGAAAAGCGCCGTCCTTCAGATGAGATTTAAAACGGAGATCCTGACTCTCTGTGGTCATTAAAAATCCCAGGGTGTTTCTCGAAAAGAGTAGGGGTGTTACGCCTGTGACCTGCCCACATTTCCCATTGGCCTTTACCAACGATGGCATCCTAATAATCCCCATGTATGAACT